ATTGCACACGAAGAGCTCAAAACAGAATCGGGTAGATCTTTGGGGGGGGGATACCATATATATATATATATGTATGTATGTATGTATGTATGTATGTATGTATGTATGTATATATATACATAACACTTTGCTCCTGGAGATGCCAGGCCCTTGGCTCTCCCACGCTGCATTTTGGCTTTGTGCCAAGTGGGCGACTGAAAGCCTCAGAGATCTTTTCAAAGACTACGACAGTGCTTTTGGCATTCGGTTGGTTTGCATCATGTTCCAGGTGCTGGCTGCATTGCTCTGCACAGCTGCCGCGTGCAGTCGTCAGGTGCTCCTTTCCTTACTCATCACTGCGTGCGTTCGGGTTTCCCTCTCCTTTTCGGATGGCATTGGTGCCGCCGAGAGGCCGTCCCGGCAGTGATGCTGACTATCCTCGTGGCGTCCCGCTCTTAGTTGCGTGCCTCGCGGGCTCTCCGCGCGAAAGACGTTGGTTGAGGCGGCTTCGCGAAACCTCTCTAGAGTTAGAGCACTGGACATGTGTGATTGCGTCCAGGAACCTCAGAAAGAGCCCCCAGGTCCGCGATGTACTTTCACCACCGACGTTTGTCTTTGGTGCAGCAGTGGGAGTCCCAGTCACAGGTTGCGCAGGTGGACTTTGCTCTGAGTACGGGCGTTTTCGAGGCTTCGCCGTTTCGCCAATCGCAGTGAAGCTGCTGCGGTCGGGGGCACAGCCTGGAAAGGCCACGGGCCACGTCGCATGGCCACAGCCGAGGCCTTGCAGTTGCTCCACCTCACCGAGTGTCACGAGGCACAGGGAGACGCCCCTCTCGGCCCTGCCTTTTCGTGCTTTGTCGAAGGCTTTGTGCCTTCATGGCCATGGCGACGCCCTGTGGAAGAACTACGAGGCCGAGCGGAGCTCTTGCGAAAGCGAGGTAGGTCCGTGTGAACTGCTAACCTCCCGAGAAAGCCTCTGTGCGAAGTAGAGCATGTATGAGTGCTCAGGCAGCAACTCTTGCATTGTCGTGAGTCACGTCACCACCCGAAGCAAGGCTTGTTGTAAAGATGCTGCACTGGCCGGGCTTGCATCCGATGCTGCGGAGAGGCCTTTACAGACTGTCGGGGGAGGGCACCTCGAAACCGTCCTGAGTTCCCAGCATTTCGAGTCTTGCATAGCCTGTTGCTTGTCTTGAGTCTTGCGTGTCTTCAACTCAAAACATCTCTCCAACCCCTCAACGGTCAGGTGGCTGTACAGCTGCCTCCACGCTTTGGTCGCGCTGCTGCTTGGACTCTTGTCCTTCTCAGCCATGACTCAGGCACCAATCACATATATATATATATATGTGTGTGTGTGTGTATTATATATATATATGTGTCTGTGTGTGTTAAATATATGTATGTATGCATGCATGCATGCATGCATGCATGCATGCATGTATGTATGTATGTATGTATGTATGTATGTATGTATGTTTTCCAGTGGTTTCAATCGGCCCTGCAGGCACAGAGCCTCCCTTCCGACTTCGGCTTTGCTGTTGCTGTGGCCTCTGTAGTCCAAGCCGCGGCCTCCGTGGCCTCAGTGCAGGGTGCTGTTGGTTTGGGACTTTGACTTTGGGGTCAAGACGGCTCCAGGTGGCCTTGGTGCCGGATGCCCTGATCGAGTTTGTGAAACATGGAGTCCGGAGCACAGCGCAGCACAGGAAAGGTTCGGAGTCACGGAAGCTCACACCAGTTCAAACCACCTACTTGCATACACGCGTTTCGCATATGGACATACCCATGTGCACCTGAATGTGTGTGTGTGTGTGTGTGTGTGTCTGTTTATTTATCTTTAATATGGAGAGCTGTCACGTGCCAGCCTTGTTCTTCAGTGTTGTCGCCCGTTGTGGCTGCTTCGAGGCTCAGCTGACGCACGGCTTGGCCGCTCTTCGTCGGATGGCGCAGACTTGCAAGGTGCGGTTTTCGAGCTGCATATGGCTATTATGCGCAGGTGGCTGGCGCAGGTGGGGTTGGTTGATGAGTGACCACTTCTTGCATCAAGCTCCAGTTAAACAGACGATATGTGCATTTCGCTGCTTTCCTTTCTTGCACATGAAGAATAAAGCAGAAGAGTGTTGCCGTTCCTTGTGCGACTTCAGTTCTTCTTTTCTGAATGTGCGGTTTCGCGGTCCAGCGGCCATCTTGGCACTGGCATCCGTTTTTGCCAGCAACGTCCCCATGCGTTGCCTTGATGCTGCGAGGAAGCTTCGCCCGAAGAGCTCGAAAGCCCGATTGCGACTCTGGAGATCGAGAGCCGAGGCATGACACACCGGACACACCGCATCACTCGCCAGTTCCAGGCCTACCAGTAGCCGTCCTCGCCCACGGCTTCTCTGAGGTGTCAAGCCCGCAGCGGTGGTGTCCCGAAGCGGCAAGGCTCGCATGGCTCAGGTCCGATCCTGTCTCGTGACTTGAGACGGTCTGGAGGTGGCTTTGGGAGACGTTCTCATCGAAAACGAGAACCTTGCCGAGATTGCGGAGCCGCAGGCGCCGTCACGTTCGTATAGGTTGCAGCCGCGGCTGATCGCGGCCGTGTCAATCACTTGCCAGGTGCCATCCCAGTCCCAGTCCATCTCTCATGCTGGTTTTCCCATGGAAAAGGTGCAGCAGTGCAGCAATGCGCAGCACGCATCTCTACAAATTGCCAGATTCTGCAGGTTCCGGGTGATTGGCCTTACTTCGGTGCCATTGAGTTCGAGAAGGTTACATTGAGGCACGGCGCCTGGCACCTGCGAACTGCAGTGGCGTGCGTTGAGAGGTACGGCCCAGGCTTGTCGCCGGCGCTTTCAAGCTGCTCCTTGCTGCTGCCACCTGGGAAGGTCAGAACAACATGTGCCTGGCCGGGGTCAGTCCGGGGTCCGTGGTGGCCGTTTGTGGCAGGCACTCCTGGTGACCGGTGCGAAAGGCTCTGGTAAGTCCTCCCTTCTCAAAGCCGTCCTGCGCTGCTGCTACATCGAGGCACCCTAACACCTGAACATTCTTGCATGCACTCGCACACGTAAATGCAGCCAGCAATTGTTGCAGAGCACGAGACGAAATCCGTGCCAAATGCAGTCGGGCCGAGTGGTGCTGGATGCAGTGGATGTCCGCTGCGTAAGCTTGGCCACACTTCGAGGCTGGGTGGCTAATTCGGCACGCAGGCAAAACGTAGACATTAACGGTATGCTACTCTGTTGCCCCGCCTCGTGTCACCAGGAAGAGTGGCCGTCGTCCCACAGGACAATTCTGAATTCATTCTTGGACTTCTGTGCCATCGGCTCACCAGGTATGCCTTGAGAGTCAAGTGTCGCCTGCTGCACCAGGAGCTATGCATCTTCCATGGGAGTTGGAGGCAAAATTTGGATCCCATGGGCGAATTCGAGGAGGAAGCCGGGAACTGTGCGTCGAGACGAGCAGGGCAAGCACGTCCCGACAGGATGAGCTAAAGCGAGTCCTGCGTCTAACGCGCTTGGAGAATTTCCTCCTCCGCACCGCGTCGGAGGCTTACGTGCACCTGCTGTGTACGACCAAACAGGCTTACTCACATCGTCTCACGGCGAACGAAGCAAGGGCAATCCTTGCCATCCTGCCGGGGGCGGGGCGGCGGGGGGGTTGAAGGAAAGGGCGTGCAATGGGAATCACGGTGTGCGATAGGCTCAGGTCACTCAGGTGAGAACATGCGAAAGGTTAGGTCAAGTTGGATCAGGCTTGCTGCGAAGAGAGCCCTCTGTATGCGAATGAGCCCACTGAATCTGTAGACTAAGATTCAACTTCTATCATCTGTCGCATGTCACAATGTGTTTGGATAGTCGCTGAAGTCTCCCAGGGTCGTCTAAGTCTAAGGTCCGATCTCGATGCTGCTGTCGCGCCCGAGGCCGACGGGAGTTTCGGGTTGTGCGGTGCCGGAATAAGTCCGCCCTGAGCACATGCTCGCACATGACTTGCTCATTCGGTCGGTCAGTCATGCGATGTGTCGTATAATCCAGTATGACCCGGCGAGCGGCATCACAAGACAAGCCATGGAGTTCGCAGAGGCGTTGGAGCCCGGGCCTGCCGTGCTGCTGTGCCTCTGCCGCGCACTGCTGCGCCTCCTGCAGGGGCCGGATAGCCCAGAGCCACTGCCAGCGAGGGTCTCAGCGAGTCTCAGCGAACAGACTGAGGCGATCGAAGCTCTTGATGATGGACGCGGCCACCTGCCGCTTCAGCCCAGCCTCCGATGCAGCCTCTCGGCTGCGGGTAGAGTCCTAGTGAGCTGGTGGAGCCGTGCAACTGCTGTGACAGTGACAGGACTTGACTGCCATCATTCTGCGCTACTGCCGTCGCCGCGGAGCAGCCACGCTGCAGGCTCCGCGCCCTTGTCAAGGCCGACGCTGATTCTTGTAACTGCGCAAGGTCAGCCAACGCGCTCAGCAAGCGCCACTCTACGACGAGGCGAGGGATTCGCTGCTAGAAGAAACGGATATGAAAGCCCATAAATCAGGCCGATTGAGCTGTAGTGCACGGTAAGTTTAGCTCAAACCATGGCACTGTGAGGTCGCTGTGATGGCCTCAGGCCGAGTGGTGGAGCAGGGCCCAGCCAAGAAGCTTTGGGCCGCTGGGACTGGAGACGAAGAACGGCCGTGCCGGTTTCAGGCCTCGAGGTTCGAGGTGCCCTTCTCTCTCTCTCTCTCCCTCTCTCCCTCTCGCTCCCTCCCTCTTGAGCAAATCGTAACGTCAGAGGTCAAGGACGGGGCCCTTCGGCGTGTGGCCAAAGATCAAGGCACCGAGAGAATAAGAATGACCGTAGACTTGGAGGGATCTGCGCTGCTATGCTCTGCACTTGCATGTCGTGCGACTACGGTAGAATCCCGGTAGAAGGTCTGGATTCGTCAAAGATGACGAAGCCAGATGCCATAGCCGCGCGGCTCATGCCTGTTTGGGGCTGGGAAGTACTGGGCCCGGAATCCTGCGGCAGCCACGATCGACCGCGGACCCCCCGCACCGACAACCCAGGTCAGTCCCCAGGAAGATCCAGCATTCAGCGACGAATTTAACGTGTCCATGAAGAAGGCACGGCGGTGTCGTGATTGTGCTGCTCCGGCCGATGTGTCTCTGAGCTCATGCGCTGACGAGTGCCATGTTGTCGAGTTGGGGTAGGCCGCGGCCGCGTAGATGGCCGCGGCTAAGCGGCTAACGGCTAAAGGAAGCCTTGCCCTGTACAGGAGTATACTCCCCAAAGTGTTCGAGATGTTCGCGTCTCTTTCTGTCAGTGCAGGCCAAGGGCTGAGGTGCTCAACGCCCCGGCTGCGCGAGGCGCGCAGCTCGGCTCGCTGCGAAGCTCTCGTTTGGGTTCTTTAAAAGGGCGCACCAAGGAGATGTACATGATCTTCAGATGATCTTTAGATGTGTTCCGCTTTTCTGTGCGTCTGCCGGGCTCAGCTTGAGCAACCGACTAAAGACCAGTGCCGCGTGGGGGTTGAATCACAATTCCACTCCTCGCCTGTGCGGGCCACGGCTGCACGGCGTTCATCCTAACCGCAAGCGAAATGCATCGAAATGCACTTCTGGTCCAACTTCTGGTGCTTTGCCAAGCACGGCTGAAGTTAAGTTACTTCACTTGGCAGTTCGGGGTTTCGCGCTTGCCGGCCCCCAATGTGTAGTTGGGCTTCAAGAGAGATTGCAGATATTTGCAGATGTTCCAGTCCGTCGAAAGTTTGTCTGGCGATGTGAACCTGACATAAACTGACCATTTCAGCGGGAGTCGTGGTACAGAGGAGATGTCAGCGGTAGAACGTTTAAGCGTTTTCAACGGCTTGAGCTACACCGGTTCAACGTGGAGAGCTCGTAAGCGATCGTGGGGAGGCTGTTGGAGGCCTAACTGCTGCGCGGAAGATTTCGGCATTTTCGTGTTAGGCGACTTTAAGCGGTAGAGTTCGCGAGGGGAGCTGACACTGTGCAGCGGTATTCAACTAAGCTTACTAAGCCGTTTGTTGTCGTATCTAAACAGGGTGTTACCGCCTTATTAAGTGTAAACTAATTCAGCTAATTAAGTGCCCTGAGCTATGGGACCTTTTCAATTAGATACCTGGCGCTTAAGCAATAAACTTCCCGACGACGAATTCGACACAAACCCCTGCCCAACCCTGTTTCACACCATGCCAAGACGACTGGTGTGCAGGCTGCGGCGAGCACGACGTTCACGTCACGGGCGAGAAGGCAACGCCTGGGATTCCGGTAGAGGGGCTTGAGCCCAATCTGCATTACCTGACTACCCGCCGCCTTCCGACTCCGGGTTTTACTTCTCTCCGAATCTACGGAGAACGGAAGGGAGCAGTCGTTTGTGCCTTGACCGCTCAACGCCCTCCCACATTATGCGGCTTGAGTCATGATTGCGGATGCTCACGTACATGCGCGGAACGTTGCATTGGGCACATAAAGCGGCATCAAACCAGGAGAATCAAGAAACGAGGACGCGGATCCCGTGTTCGGGCCTGCGTGCGCTTGGGAGGGTCCTCCTCTTTAGACGTTAGCGTAGCTCAAGGTTCGACGTCCTGCAAGCCATTTGGCCCAGAGATAGCGGTGGGCCTTTGGAGGGTTGGGAGCGGTCGGCATGGAAGCACGGGTGGACCGCATAGAACACGCTGGCATGGCGCTGGTCGCATCGGGCACGCGCTTTTGGGTGCCCTGGCCACTCTTAGGCTTGTCGGATGTGAAAGTTCAGAAGAGCTCAGCGAGTTTGCATTGGCGGCTCCATTGCATTGATCCTGACAGCAAGCCGGGAGACTACCAGGGAGGCACACAGAACTCGTACTGTCTTCGGGCCTTCAAGGGAAGGCGCATCGTTCCGGATTCAACGACGCTGCGTACTGGCATTCTCGAACTTGAATGTGCGGTGGAGCCTTGGGGTCTTGTAAAGCAAACTTTGTGCTTTGATGGGCAAGTTCGTGTCAAAGTGTTCACCTTCGCACATCTCCGTTTGAGGAACAAGATGCTTTGTTGACGATCTCTGCGAACAGAATTCCTCTCAATCTACAGCTTGCAAAACCTCTGAGCTGCTGCCTCGAGCATCGGCAAAGCTTCGACAAAGGAGCTGCAGCAACTGGGCTGCAATTAGGATGTGCAGGCACAGCAGGTCATGAATTTCACGGACGTAGCTTTTTTCTTTGTCTTTGTCGACAGATTCTTCCGTCTCCCTCCGAGCTCCATCGCGAGACAGGCGCTGGCGGGTCAGAAGCTGCTGCAAGAGGCTCGCAGAATGACTTCTCCTTGTGACCCTGGGGCCGACGTCTATGCCCAGCGTTGGGGGATGCTGGTGGAGTTGGAGGCGGCAGCATCAGCGGTGGAGGGCAACGACTCCCGTGTGCTCTTCGATGTCCCGATCACCTGGGCCGAGACGCAAACCGCTGAGGGAAAGAAATCTCGGGGCTCCTTCGTCATCTCTGCGCGCCTGGCACGAAGCCACAAGCTGAAGTTCCGAGGCCTCTTGCCCCGAGGCGGCGAGTCTGCATCTTCGTGGTTGTGCTTGCGGACCCACGACCTCAAGTGGTCTGCACATGCCCGAATTGTTCAGGCTGGCATTCTGGAGGCATGCTGGGCAAGAGCGTGGATTGTAGGGGAATGGATTCATTCGGTTGTGTAGGGTTTGCTGCTTTCAGCTGCAGACGCAGAATCAGGAGCGTTCAGGAAAGAAGGAGAGGCGGACGGAGTGGCAGAGATAGGGACGGACGTTCTTTACTTCTTCCTTGAGTCCTTGAGGATCTTTTCTAGTTCGTGGTATGCTCTCAGCATGTTTGAGCACTCCAGTGCTGTTGTTGAGAAAGATCGGAAAGATGCTGTATCCCTGGCATGGCGCATCGCTGTTCGTAGCACCAGGCTCTGCCCTCCAAAGGAATGAAAGGAACAGCAGCAGTACTTGTGCTCCATACAACGTAGTACAAGCGCTCAAAGTCGGAGCTCAACTTCCCCCATACACTGTTGGCTGCTACTTGCATGCAGTCCTGGCCATTCTGAGCTCGTCCTCCGTGAATGGTTCCCATGGTGCCCGCTTGCACCAGCGTCGCTGAGACAGCACAGTGTGGCAGCTAGAGTATTTTTACTGCGAGAGGAGCGAGAGGAGCTCCCACCTCACACCACGCACTCTAGAGAAGTTTTCTTGCAATTCTGCAAACGACACACAACCACACTCCCCCTCCTCACAGAGTGACCAGGGATGCAAGAACGCGTCGAACGGGACGCGCCCGAAGGTACCCTCGAACAACTTGGTGCAGACCACAGTCATACGACAGCACGCCAGATGCCATGCACGCCTTTCACTCTCACAGAGCGTCAAATCGGACTTTCCCAGTCTAAGTCAAACAAGGCCCCAGGCCCAGATGGAGTACTCAATGAATGCTATCAGTTACGATCAGCTGGATGTAGACTCATCGAATTGCACAAAGAGCTCTAGACACCGCGAAGTTGGCAAGAAGCTAGAGTAGTCAGCATCTTGAAAGCCGCCTCTAATTATAGGCCAATCTCGCTTCACGTGACTTACAAAGCCTTTGCGGCCATGGCATAAGCTTTTGTAGGCTCTCACTGACATGTGAGGAGAAACCGGGTAAAACTGGGTTACCTAACAGTCTTGTACAGGACAGTTCCTTTTGCATGAAGCCCCTACCTTCAAGGTACATGTAGACCTAGAGTAATGTTGGGGCTGTAAGAAAATATTCCGCCGCCCTCGAGGCTGTTTTGTCCAGGGTCTCTTGGGGTGGTCGTTGGGTTGGGGGGTGGCAATAACAAATATAGTAGTAATAGTACAGTAGTAATCGTAGTGATCATACTAGTAGTAGTAAAGTCGTAATAGTATAGAAAGCCTTGCTTCCAGGACCCCCGCTCCGCGGGAGTATTTTCTTGCCACCCATTTATTGTTGCGATCTGCTGTGCGGTAGTTCAGTGAGAGATGTCTTGGAGCCAATTTCAAATATGTCAGTCCAATTCTAAGACTTCAACGGGGAGCTCTTGAGAAGACGCCAAAGAGAGAGCATTGTTCGTGCGCATGGCCATAGCAAAAACAACACTGCATGCTTTCGATTTTCCAAGGGGGCCACGGTTGTGGCTTGGAGCGATTCATGAATATGAACAGCACTTTCCCAGCAGAGGCATTGCAGTCTCCATGCAAAAAAGGTTGGTAAGTGCAACGTGTTCGCCAGCAGCTTCGCTGTGTCTTGATTTGAGTCCGCCTTGATGCTGAAACAGAGCAATCGGGAAGCGGGCCGTACGCTTCCCTGCCAGCCGATGCCAAGCCTTCAGCAAACAGGGATCACCCCGCACACTTGACAACGACTTCGACGAAGGTTACCCCTGCTTTTGCCAACTTCAATGGCTGAAAAGCAGCTCGCAGAGAACGCAGAATGACACAAGTGGCGAAGAAGCTCGGCAGTGGTGGTGCCATGGTCTCGCTGCTATTGTCCTCGTACTTATGATACTAGCATGGTGATGTTGCGATGATCATGAGTATTCACGCGTGGGGGTGGTCGTTGTGGTCGTGGCGAGTTGAAAGAGTTATGAGAGAATCCGAGAGACGATGCATTTCGTGATGTTCTTTCGACATGTGGTCCGGTGCTTGTACATGGCATCCTTGAAGGATGGTCATCAACTGACCCTTGACGATGAGGAGAAGGCAAACGACAAGACGCAAAACTCAATTCATGTAGTATTCGACATCGAAGGCACGCGAACCGCTGCACCAGACATCGTGGAATATGTGCCGAAGTCTTTATCCTACAGCTGCATGCACATGGCTCTTTCGGATATCAATCCACCAGCACGTGTTGATGGCCTACCTCCAGCCCCGCTGCTGGCACGCGATATTGTCTTGGGAAGGTTGCCACTGGAATTTCAAGAAGAGCGACAAGACTTGTCAGCTTGGCACCTAAACTCCTCTCAAGAGCAGGCTGTTTGTCGTGCCCTAGCCCGTCATTTCCAGTTGTTGCACGGCCCACCCGGGACGGGAAAGACACGCACCGCTGCTGTTCTGATGACCCTTTTCGCTCAAAGGAATCTTGGGGCTCGGTGTGCGATCCTGTTCGGAGCACCCACCAATCGGGCCGTGGATTGTGCCTTACTATACACGAACCAGCTTTGCGAGAGCTATTTTGCGGAAAGATTGCGAGCCCGTGTTGAGCAGGATGGTGATGCTGAGTGTGCCATCTGCCTAGATGCAAATCCAGATGTTGTTACAGCATGTGGGCATGTGTTCCATCGGACATGCTTAGCACGCTGCTTGCAGCAGAGCAGTCAATGCCCTTT